GCTGTGACTCGCAAGAGCAGACACAAGCCGCCGCGTCTATTTGGGTGCTGTTCTGCCTGGCGTACAGCCACATGGGATGGACATTCCGGCGATGAGTGCGCGTATCGCTGAGCGGAGCATCTTTTTACCGCCTGAACAGCTCTTGCTGACTAAGTCCGCACGCTGCTAGCTTGTACGTAGTTTCGGTTATTAGCTTCTCGTTCACCCCTGGTTTTGAGTGTTTGTTTGGTTTGGTGATGTTTAATGGACCGAGCGCTGCAGCTGCGGCCACTGAGGTCCGCCGACGCCAAGAAGAGAGAGCGACGCTTTGGCTTGCGATTTGTTGCCAAATTGCTTTGTAGACCTGCATCTGCACTCTCAATCCCCTCCATCCACCGAATAAGCTGAGAAGTTCTTTTTTTCAAGCAGGCTGCTTTCCACAAAGTGGTTGCTTGTGGCTCTTCAGGGGCTGAGTGACTTTTCGCCGACAGGACTGGGCTTGCTGTCTCTTGGGGCGACTTGGAACGACGAGCCTCTGTCGCTTTAACTTGAAGTCGCTGCCTCTTTTTTCCATGCTACACGGCTGACACGGCTTATGCTGGCCTATCTGCACGTCGCAGCGAGTACGGTTGAATTTGTAAGGAGAGCGGAAGCACTCGGAGGTCTTGGTGGCTGCTGCAGTGCACGGGAAACGTAGAGAGAGACTGGAAAAGAATCTGCGTACTAGCTATGTTCTGCCGTGAGTTGGCTCCTGGGCACGCCCGGACCTCGCGCCAATCGTTCCGCCACCTGGTCTTGACCGTCATCAGTAAGCGCCCAGTGGTTTGCCTCCAAATCCACACGGCCTCCTGGCATGGGAACCAATGCTGCTCCTTGTGCACACCTATTATTGCTGTGGGGTGGAGGATGTCAGACTGATGTCTACCCACCCAGGCCACCACCTTTCTTTCTTTTGCCACTACTGCCCTGTCTTTGGATTTTTGGACTTTGGTGTGCACGACTTCGCTGAAAAACTTGCTTTAGCTTGAAGTCGCTGGGAGCAAGGTTTTTTTCCGACGCTGAACGGCTCCTACTGACGAAATCCGCACGCTGCAGCTAGTACGCTTTGTTTTGGCGTCCGCGGGCCTCAGCGGCTGCAGCTGCAGCGCTCGGTCCCAATAAACATCACATAAACCAACAAACACACAAAAACAGCGAGGCCCCGCTCAGCGACTTCAAGCTAAAGCAACAGCGGACCGTCATCCGAAGTCGCCCAAGATAACGATTGGTGCCCAATGCAAGGCACCGCCGCCGGACGACAGTCGACTCTCGTGTCCGCGGTAGGCCGTCACCCAAAGCCGCCCAAGACAACGAGTGGAGTCAACAAGTGTTTTTTTGGCGTCGGCGGGCCTCGGTGGCTGCGGCTGCGGCGCTCGGTCCCAAGAAACATCTAAACAACGTTCAAGCTCGAAACAACACACGAAAACAGCGGTGAAACATAGAGAGAAGGCAACGTACATTGATGTGGTCTTGCGAGGGCACGGTTCACTTGATACAGTAGTTGTCAGTTGCTCTCAATTCGTCATGTCCGCAGGCATGCAACCATGCTGGTTTCATGTTTTTGTGCATGGACCGCTGCGGGTCACACTCTTGATTTTTGATCTGCCGGCCAAAACTCCGAAGTGAATGCGTGTGTTGCCATCCTTGCAGTGAAAGCTGCTTGAGAGCTGCAAGTCCGATTGGAGAAATGTGTTTCAATGTTTTCAATGTTGGAGTTGATTCTTCCCGGTGTTTGATGTGGTGAGCATTTTTCAATAGTGTGCAGCGTTTTTTGGGGACAGTTCAATTGGGTTTTAAAATACATGTACATCTTGTTTTGATGATTCTTCGTCTTGCTCTTGTTATAGATATATTTGCCTGGATAAGAGTGTGGGAACTTGAGCGTATACGGGCCAAACGGATTTCGATTCTGGTTGTTTTGACCACGGCAAGCCCGGACTGCAAGTTTTCGAATTTGAAATCACAATATGCGAACGTGTTTTCCTTTAGGTTTTGCACAAAATGAATTTGGAATGCTTATTTCCGTGCATGCGTTTAAGTTCCAATCGTGATGCGTCCCATGTAGTGTTGTGTCCCACCAGCGTTCCCTTGCACTTTGAGTTGGATGAAATTGCAGTTGGTGCATTACTTTCATTTCTTGCTTCCCAAGCTTCATCAGGTCTTTGATAGCTTCTGCTACCACGGCGGGTTTTATTTGTTGGAGGCTTTCGCAGCTTTCGCAGAGATCGTTGAGTTAGTCGGTCGTCGAGCAAAGTGGCCGCGTGCTTTCCATTGCTACCTGGCTATTGGGTTGTCGAAAAACACGTTCCGTCCGAACGGGAACTTGAAGGTATACGGAAGGATGACTAAGAGGGCCAAACGGATCCGATCCTTTGGGGCTCGCATCAGACGGAGCTGAGCAGAAGTGCACTTCGCAATCTATCCAGCTGCGTCTCGATGACAGCATCGATGAGCAGGAGCTGTTTGCTGATACGTTTTCCCATCAGCAGCACAACGTTACAAGCCTTAGCCGACTGTTCGGAAGCAGAGATTTGCATCAATGCGGATGTTGTTTCCGCAGATGCCCGAGTTGTGGATGTCATCGCCGGTGCAGGCCGGGTGTCGACACTGCATGCATCAGTGGGCGAGCGAGAAAATAGCTGTGAGTCGGACATTCGCCCGTGACACGCTTTAAGAATGCTTGGTGAATGCCAGCAGTCTGACAGGCCTTTGCCAGGCCGGCGGGCCGTGCAGATGCTGCGCCCTTAGCGGGTCTTCGCGTGAAGCGCAAGCGCTGCAGTTGACATGAAACCCAATCATTCACTCATCCCTCTTTCGAGCTGGCGACAATCGACTTCTGTTTGGATGGCAGGTGCAGGTGTGCCAAGTTCGATTTGGATTGAACTTTTGCGTGCGATCGGCACATGTGCATACATCGTTCATACATATCGGACGTCGCATCACACGCTCGAACAAACTGTAGTGTCTTCTCGCCGCTTCCACCCTGCCGATATTGCCCACTTGGATGCCTTCCCCTTCCGAGGTCGAGTGCACTTTGCAGGTGCATTTGCGGCACAGGAAAGAAGGCTGCCTCATACACAAGGATGTTGCACAAATCACCCTTGGATGTGAATGCTTGTCTAGGCACTGGTTTGTTCGGCGATTCCTGTCCGTTTATCCCGTATGTCAGATGCTTGCGCTGCGTGACGGTGAGTAAAGGTAAGGGTAAGAGTCAACTCTGTCGTCGCGAGAGTGTCATGTTCTGGCCAGGATCAGTTCGAGCTTCAGCCGACGTTTAGCACGGCTGTAGCCTCAGAGTCTCGAAGTGACGACGTCTTGAAAGTATGGGAGGAGATGCTACTGAGCATTGAAAGCGGGTCGGTGCTTGAAACTGGAGGAAATTCCTTCAATTCCTCACCTCGCTAGGCAATGTCTAAGATCACAAGATCTCCTTAGATCAAATCCAATGGCATGTGTAGATCATGATCATCATGGGCCCAATGTACTTTGAGTTTCTCTCTGACTCTGTTCTCCCATCATGGTCTTTTCGTAGAGTTACGTTGGGAGTTGAGAGTTTTGGGATTAGGACCCCACCGATCCGCTTAACAGATTCTAGTTGGGTGAACAGGAACAAGCAGTGCAAGGTGAGGTGTGCAGTGAGCGTCTCGAGCGCGTGTTCGGGCATTTTAAGGTGGTGTTGCAGAGAAACGCCGGTAAATACCGAACATGTGCGCAGAAATTCCTGAACCCCTAATCCCACCCTTTCCCGAGGACTTCAACGTGGATGCTTGGTGCCAAGATTCGAGTCGCGGTCTTTTGATCCTGTTTGAGAGGGCAGCTGAAATCACTTCTTGCATATCCCTCCGCCGAAACCTGCGGATAATCTCATCCGAGTAGCACAGAGGCCCTGGGAGATACCGACGAGGCGCCCTTTTCCAGGTGCCCTCGGTATGTTTCGGTTTTTTCAGGACAGCTGATCTTCGGCTTCGGTATTCTGGCGTTGGGTGCATCGCTTCCAGATGTCTCCGCACATCTGTTGGGCTTGCAGCCTTGCTGAGGGTTTTTGGGATTCGCACTTTTCATCTTTGCCTGGTTCTTCAGGCTAATGCTTTTGCCGGAAAACCACAGCAGCAAGATCCTCGAGAAACCCGGCCAGAGCAGCAGCGCAGATCACGCACCCCGAAGGGCCAGAAGGAGTGACGTCTTTCAGTACGGACATGTGTTTTGGTAGTTTTTTCTCTCAAGTTCCACGAGGCCTCCCTTGACTGCCGGTCGGCTCACGTTCTCCTTGCTTCAGCAGCCTTTGCGCGGCGCGCCGCCTCTTGGCCTTGAACACCCGGCCCTGGTGTACCTCTGGGTGCGAGATTTTGCCTGAGAGGGAGCTCCGCAGTCGGATCGAATCCTGCCTGAGAAGATATCAGCCAAGCCATCCCTCCCGCTGGAATTACAATTTGCGACGCTTGCGAGCACACACCGAGTCTTGAAGTTCCAGGATGCGCCAGGGAAAGCTGTGGTATCTGTCATCGGAGGACCAGGCCGGTTTCACAAAGCCGACTCTTCAGCGACTTCAGGTGCTTCTTGCGTTGAACCTGGTTTGTTGGATGTTGCGGGACTTCGGAGGGCCGGGATGTGCCTGGCTCTTGCTTCCTACCCAGCCTAGGGCCTAGAGCCCGCGAGAGCTTCCAGAAAACACCCGGAGTCCCGGAGGTCGACTCGGTTCACTTCTCTCTCTACGTCAATGGCTTCTCTTTCTGGCACGAGGGACCCACGGCCGCACTGGAACCTGGCTGCCTTCTTGAGCTCTCGCAAACAAAGTGGTGGAACTGGACACGAGGAGTAGCAGCCGTAGCATGTCCAAGCAGGGTCTATATAGTGGCAGCACTACTAGTTGAGATCCTGAATGAAGCGGTTTTCGAGGAGTTGGAGCTGTGTGGGTTGTGAGAGCAGCGCTTCGGAGAGGCCCTTTGTGAGATGGAAAGGCTTCGACTTGGGTTCTCGAATTCATGGGAAATCGGGTGGGCCTGAGACCAGCGCGACCTCCGAGGTGCCGAGGTGGCCATCTCCCTGTCGCCCTTCGTTCTCGTGCGGAACTGCAAGTTCCAGAGCGGCAGGGGCCCCAGCGCGGATCCCTGGTTGAAGCTCTGAACCTCAGTGGGGTTCCTTGTGTCTTGAATGTGGAGGCCTTTGGGTACTGGTTCATGCAGCCTCGGCCGAGGCTACAACTCCACGCTTTCGGACCGGCACTCGGTTCGCGGCCGTGCTCGAAGACGGGTCTGCGATTCTGTCTCCCGCCCGAGGACATCAAGATCTTCAAGATCTCCTTATTTGCGTACCTTTGCCTGCACTGCAGTCACGACGTGTTCCGGCCAGTCACTAGTCTCGTCCCTTCGTCCCAGGCACAGCGCGTGCTACTACTTCGGCGTCCGGAGCAGCGACGAGCGCTGGGCCGAGGAGGAGCGGTCGCGGTGGGTTTTGGACGTCTCGAGGGCGGTGAGGCTCGCGCCTTTGATGCAAGCAGTCCTCGGGTCCTTTGGGGGGGGTGGGGCGCGGCGAGGCGCGGGAGGCTTCGACGTCCGAGAGTGCTGTGTGCAAGGTGACACAGAGCCTCTTCCCCCCGTACCGCATCAGCTGCGATCCACAGCAGGCCGGTGCTTTAAAGAAAAAGCAGCGAGTCTTCCAGTTAGGCGCCGGCACCCCTGAGCCCCGAGCTGCGACAGGGCGTCAAGCACACGGCAACCCGTCTCATGGCTGGCTATGTGGCGCCTCAAACGGCATTTGAAATTTGAGAGGTTCTCGTCTGTGGCCCCGTGCCAAGGTGTGAGATGGTGTGAGCAGGTAGACCGTGGGGTGCATGTCCCTGCCGAGGTGCACCACGAAGATGCGACTCGGGCTATCATGGGGTACTCGGTGACCTTCCAGCTTGGTTTGAGCTTTCAGTGTCTAATGCCCCAAAACTACGGTAAACCCCCGAGTTTTTTGCCGGGGCCGCTCAGGTCTCGACTTGCTCGGTGGTGTACTGCGAGCTCCATGCGCACCGGGGAGATCTGGCTCGTGTGACCATGTACGAGAACGACCTCTGCCAGGTGCTGTTTTGAGAGTCGCTGAGGGACTTCAGCTTGGGTCAAGAGCTTCGGGCAAAGAAGGTGCGGGTGGCTGAGATTGACATCTACGAGAGCGCCACATGTTCCGAGAAGATCGGCATCAATTGCAGCTGCTTCAGTGTGGAGGTGGGGTCGGAGTGCCGGAGACTCCCAGTGAATCTCGGGGTTCAGTGATCACTTGCTGGTAGGACCTTGTGGTATCGTTGTCGAAAGGCTTCAGCAAGTGACGACATGGCTCTTCTCTTTGACCTTTCTCAGGATCTTCCTACAATGTCAGTCCGAACTTGTCGCCGCAGTCTTTTCGCATCTCCAGGGCCAAAGGTTCTTAGGCCTGTCTCTTGAGGCTTCTTGAGTTCCAGAACTTGGCACAGCCTGCTTCCGATCTTTAGGCTTCCCGACAGAAGAGCGGAGACAGAGTCTCTGGTACCGGGCACTGCGAGACGAGAAGTCCCTTTTCTGCCACTGTTACTGAGACTGCAACCACGAGCATTCTGGCAACTGCTACTGCTACGTTGGTCACATGTTGAGTGGGATCCGGAGCAGCCCGCGCAAAGGATGAGATCAACGAGTGTATAGCCATCAAAGCATGAAGCTCAAAGCATGAGGCGTATCGTCGCCATCATCGACATCCTCCAACCGCATTCTCCTCTGTGCACCCATCTCTTTACCTCCTTACAGTCTTCTTCGTGTGCCTCGTCATCTAAATGACATAGTGGATTTCGCTTCGCCACCACCATCCTACTATCCTCGCAATTTTAACACACTCTCTTGTGGAAGGACCATCAGTTCTCCTCCAGAACGCTGGCGGAAAGAAAGCTTTGGCTTCGTGTGGCTCGGTCGGCTTTGGTGCCTTTACATAGGGACGCGGAGACAGGCATTGACATCAGTGGAAGGGTGATCCCGTACTGAGGCCATCTCCAACGTGAGAGCTCAAGTCTCAGCAGTGTCCGCTGCAGGGCTCTACTGCTGCCACATCTACTGCCACTCCAACTGCTAGTTCTAAGCTTGCTTTGCCTTGCAAGTGCAAGCGTGTTCGCACCCACAGGCAATCAATCAATCAATCAACCTCCCCATCTCTGATCCTTCTACTTGTACTCCTGCTTTTCTTGGACCATTTGAGGTCATTTGCCTTTGCAGCTCTGCCACGGGTTGATTTGCAATTGCGACCTGCCGTGATTGCACATTGCACGTGTTAGGTTTCTTTCTCAGCATGAATCAGCCATGTGGTGACAACGGAGACTTTCCACATGTTCACATGCACATTCACATGCACAATGAATGATTTCGCTCCGACCATGGCCGAGCAGCTCATTTGCGACCTGTTGAGAGGAGCGGAGGTCTTGAAAGCTGGAGAAGATCTGGCGAAACAGTACAGGAAGATGGCTCTTGTGATCCATCCGGACAAGTGCCATCTGGACGGTGCGGCAAGCGCTTTTCAGATGCTGAAGGCATCGTTTGATAAGAAGATCAAAAAAGAGAAGGACAAGCAAGCCAAAGCCAAGAATGAGAAGAGGGCGAGAATGAATCAGAAGCACAGGGAGAAATAGAGGAAGGAACAGGAGTCCAAAGCCGCTTGGCAGGCGGCCAAGCAGGAGAAGGTCAGGATTGCAAAAGAAAATCAGAAGAAGGCCCGGGCCCAAAGAAAGCACAGCAATCATGCGGCTTGTGCTCCGGACTGTGATGCTTCCGGGTCCATGGACAACGTCAGCACGCTTGATGCTGCAAAGAAGGAGATTGATGATGCGGCTCAAGTTGTGGCCCAGACGGAATTTATGAATGTGCCCGTGGACCCGGCCGTGCAGGAGACAAGTGACAATTCGTGGTGGCCTAGCATCAATGCGATATTTCGGGGCTACTGCCCCTGCTGCCGCTAAATTAGTAACCAGCAGCCGTGACGGCGTTGAATATTTGCATGCAGAGCTTCTGTGTTCTTTGCCATGACGGCATGAAGAGACCGATGAGATCAGTGGAACCATGCGGGAGACACGTGACAACTCGTGGTGGTGGCCTAGCCTCTACGTGATGTTCCGGGTTTGCTGCTCCTGCCGCCGCCCAATCAACACAGCCGGTTCAAGCAAGCCGTGACGGCGTCGAATACGTGCATGCAGACCTTCCAGGTTCTTTGCCATGACGGTATGAAAAAAGCCGATGAGATCAGTGGAGCTGTCGTAACGCAGGCACATGCCAAAGGATTGTGTCTGAACTCCCAATACATTGCTATTGCGGATGCCGGAGCACCCAGGTCAAGCTGCAAAATCGTGCGCCTGACCCCACCGAGGCTGTCTGTAAAGGTGTTTGTTCGACGAAATTCAGCCTAGTTTCGAACCTTTGGATTCAAGGTTGAAGGGCTCGGTTGTGTAAAATTTGAGGAGGCAGAGGGCCCCGCAGATCGTTGGCAGCCCAGAGTAGTGCAAGGCAGACACACCGTGCTCAACAGTGCAGTTCGGGGCAAATAGTGAGACGAGTGTGACAGTACATGGCTTACTTTTGATTCGCTCTTGTTGTTCTGCAGCGAGTCCCTCGCGCCGGTGCCGTGTCCTTGTAGCAACCATGAAAACCTGTTATGACTGACCAAGAGGATGGTTGCAAGGGGAGAACAGCGTCGACTGCCAGAAGCTCTCACATGCTCTCGAGTCCTGGGCACCGAAAAGTCTAGAGCCGGAGCTCATAACACTGTAGTGTAAAGCTTCTCCTTCCCTGTGCATGTTAGTTTGGAACAAGCCAGGAAGAGCTTACCAGCTTCCGCACTGCAATCAAGGACCGCTTGGTTGTGAATGACTGACAGGGTCGTAACTGCTCATAATCCTTCACCCGGGACCATGCAAGCGCTTTTCAGGAACACCTCTCCACCATCAGGGCGGCCCTGGAAGGACCAGGCGGAAATGATTGCTTGTCGGGTTGCCAATGATGAGAAACATGCAGACAAGGACTAGTGTGCCGATGTCTATGACAATAGTGACAATGGATCCAGAGGATGGCGGCGATGATGGTGTTGTCGCTTTAAGTTTGTGATGATCCTCGTCTTATCTCGGCACAATAGCACGAAGAGATTAATGGCGAGCGTCAAAAGCCGAAATCCCCACGACCGAGCAACGAAGCCGACGCTGACGTGCTCTGACGCGCATCCTGAGATCCACAGGTCGATCCACATCAATTCTTGAATACCTCTCGCGCGCTCCACATCCGAAATATCTGAGCTAGAGCTCGAGTTGTATGCAGGCGTTGAAGAGCCGGGTTTGAGCAGCGGTGGCGTTTTGGGCTCAGACTCCCCTTCGGACACCCCTGATGGGGAGGCATCTGTTTTTTTTTTGGATCCCGGTTTGGGTTTCGGACCCCAGGTTGACAGGTCCGTGATTGTTTGGTTTTACGGTTTTACCATTCTGTGGTCCGTGTTTATCCACCATCAGAAGCTCGTTTCGGGGATCTCTTCACCTCTCGAAATATCTCAGTCGAAGACGGATGTATGCCAAGCTCACTCCCTGTCAACATGGCTAACTTACTACCCGTTACTACCCATGCTGAAGTAGTGTGAACTACCATTGGTCATGATTAGATTTGTGAAATTGGCTGTTTCATGTATTTACATATACAAGAAATTCCAGGCAAAGCATCTCCCACTGCGACTTGATCTCGCCTTGACACTGAAACCATGCAAGACTGAATAGTGCAGCACTGTGCTCCTATGCTACTTGTACTAAACTGCTACACTGCTATGCTACAATAGTACTTTACGGCCAGGAGAAGTGCACAACCACAACAATTCGATGATCAAATCTATGGCAGACCTTGTTGAACCGACTCTGCTGAAGTCCAACTCGGAACCGCTCCTTATGAACTTAAAATCCTTCGATCCCTCGCCATGAGGGCAGCCTGCCCACGGCACCCCGGCAGCGACTTGGCCAGGCCCGAGGATATGAACACTATATATGTATATATATATATATATATATATAGGTATATTCTGGGTATTCTTATTTACGATTACTACTGCCATTACTATTTGGGTCTTTGTCTTCTAAACCCGAAACACCGCGAGGCACTTAGAGGGAGGTTTAGGGTTCAGGATTTCAGACTGATCTGGATGTTCTTCTGTGCTGGGCCACCAGATAACTCCCGAAGTTTAGCAGAAAACCCTCAGCCCTACATGGACATCCGAAGCTGAAACTACTCAAAGCTGCTTTAATCGCAATCCCTCCACCTGAGCCTCTGCCTTCCTTCCCAGACCATGGACCCCTTGTTACAGCGCTGCCACGCGCTGCGGCCTCAGCGAGCTTCCTTCCAGGACTGTCGCTATCAGAACGCGACTCTGCATACCGCTTCGTATTTTAAGCATAGTTGTAGTGTCTCATGGAATGCATATGCTTCCATAATTTGGTGTTACAAGACATCGTGCCAGATTCAAGCGTTCTCGTCCGTGCTCCTGCACGACTACACTCCTGTGTGCCATCCTACATCACAAGCTAGATCATCCCTGTACACAGTGCTGACATGTCTGTGTCATAAACGCATGTACCAGTCCTTGCATAGTATCGCTTCTATGATCACACTTGCTATCTTATTTCGTTGTTCATGGTGCCCTCTGCCGCGCGGTTCTCATGTCTGACCGTGATTGTGCTGAGTTATTTGCTCGCACGTAATCCGTGAGAACTTCTTTGAGTTATTCGTACCACCAGATAGCCCGTATTGTCCCAACTGCTGTGACTGATGTTCGGTCTATTGGCCTGTCGATGGTTCCAACCATGACAGAACTGTGACTTGAAGATGCTTATAGGGTAAGTTGTAAGACCAACAGAATAATAGCAGTCGTAGCGACAATCATGGTCAGCGCCGTCGCCAGAGAGCCCACAGAAATTCAGCAGCAATCCTGTAGGAGTACCGTAAGTACCGTAGTACCACCAGAAGTGCAGGGGTCAAAGGCAGAGCTTCAGCCTTCAGCCTCAGAGGCGACGGCCGCCGCTCTGTCATGGGATGTCGGTGCACATGTGCGGGGCCCGGCCGGGCCCGGAGCGGTGTGGCATACTCTGTGGTGCTCTGTGTTTCAACCAATCCGAAAGAATGGAAAGGAGAGATTTGCTAATGGGTGCATGAATTGGTGCATGCATAAACAAAATTTGTTAATGGCAGAAGACGGCCTGAATTTGTGTTAAACTGCTGCAGGGGCTATTCTGCGGAGGATCTTCAGAGGCGCTGGCAGCTCAGAGCTCTCAGGGGGGGACTCGCGCCGGAGTGGCACAGAACTCCCCAGGTTTCGCAGCCCAGGCGGTGGAGAGTGACCCGGGGAGGCGGGCCACATGGCTAGAGAGAGGTGGGGAACGAGCGGGTTCAGAGTTTGAAGCTGCTAAACACATGCAGTCGTGCGTGTCCTCTACGTGGCGCTGAGCCAGATGCTGTTTAGACTCGTAATTAGAGCCAGCCCTGTGCTGGCTCGGTCTACAGATCTGCTGCCCCATAGACGATGCACCCAGACAAACACTCGTTCTGGGTCAGGCTCCTCGATCTCAAAGGCATTCAGCCGCCGTCCCAGTTGTTTCGTCGCGCAGTTTTGGTTTTAAGGTTAATACATATGGCTTTGTGCGTCTCTGATTTTTGCATCTATGCTATCCACTAGGGTGTCGGAAGTTGTGCTTGCATTTTTCCGCGCAGCAGCTCAGGGGTTCTTCGTATACGAGGTTAGATGGCATTCGACTAGTGACTAGGTTCGAGTCATAAAGGCACTGGATCCACTTCCTTGCCTTTCTGCTACATGTGAGTTTCCGAAAGTAGGGGACCCGAATATAGCACCCCAGACAGTAGGATCCTCATTGTAAGGACCCCAAAATGAGGTCCGCCGGTCCGCCTAATTTTCGGAAACTCCCACATTCCTTAGCTGCTCTATGAGTGATGCCGCGCTTTAGGAGACCGACCCCAAGCGCCTAAATCCTGAACTTCACACCCCATGCCTTAATTAACACCTAACTGCTAACTCCTAAACCCTAAGATCACCACGTCTTCCACTGATCTCAAGTCCGGAGACAAACCCTGAAATCTCAACTCCTTCGAGTTTCTCTTTGAAGCCGAAAAAACATCCTTGCATCATAATTCGAACCCTAAGGCACAGACTCTGGTAAGTCTGAAGCCTGAAACCACGAAAAGGGCCCGAGAGATGAACCCAGGGTCGAGCTCGACCCCCTCGCGCACCGTGCTGCGGCGAGGCTTCGGACCCTCATTTATTTGGGAGTTTCCGAAAAGTAGGGGTACCTTATTTGGGGGTCCTTATAACAGGGATCCTATTAGTACTACATTATTCTCTTGTTTGCATGTCAGGATGGGTCAGAAAATATGGTTTCTGTCGCACGAGATTCTTGCGCATGTATGCTTCAACGTATATAATATTCCAATTGAATACATGCGTAAGTAGATAGATGAATAGAAATGTACGTGTGTGTGTGTGCATATGTGTAAGTAAATGAATATATGTGTGCATGTCTCTCTCTTCTAATTCTATATACATGTATATATACACATACAGACATGCACACACACACACACACATACACCGTGCATGAACTTTTGTATATGCAACTCGGTCTGTCTGCATGTCTGCATGTAAGCATGTCTGCATGCCTGCCTGTCCGCGTGCTTGTCTGCTAGTCTGCTTGTCCGTCTATATGCATGCATGCATGCATGCATGCATGCATGCATGCATGGATGTACGTATGTGTCCAGAGTCTAGATTCTATCTCGTGATCTTATTTCAGGGCACTAGGCTTGGAGACCGTCCTGATAGCCACTCCAAGCTCACAAAACTCGCAAGAAGTACCCCCGAGCCGAGCATCCACCCACTCAATCGCCCGACGGACGTTGAAGATTCTGCTTCTCTTCACAGAAGGCTTCTGGACGTGGTGAACTCCTATGCCATGCTGCAAGTCTACATTCATGCACACATGACCATGTGACTATGTTCGAGTCAATGCGTCAGTTAAACATACAAGAATGCATACACACATGAACATACGTGTACAGCACCTGCACCAAACCCTTGCCCTCGCAGAAGTCCAAAGTTTAAGTGCCCTCAGCCCGAGCCTTCTGTCAAGGCCCACCAGCCAAAGCTCGCTGGACAGGCGCCGGATCTTGGCCTTATGGGATTCTGGGGAGCTGTGAGAAGTTTGCGGGTGGCTTGTAAACAAGAAGAACAACCACTGCTGCTGCTACGACAACGATCGCCGCCGCTATTCCTCTTCTTACTGGTTCCTGAACCCTAAACCCTCAGATTAGTTTTTTTTTCAGTTTTTTGACTTGGGGGCTTTAGGGGACCGGAGATGCCAGGTTCAACGACAGCACGGAGGCGACCGAGGAACCGAACGGCCCGGACCAAAAAGGCCCAGATGTGGTTGGGGATTTTGGGCCTCAGGGTTCCCAGAGACTCCAACATCCCTTAATTTAGGAATACAAGGAATATATTTTATATCATCTTAGGGATTCTACTATAGTTTAAGGTATATTCCTTAATTAAGGGATATTGGAGTCTCAGGGTTCCGGGTCTTGGAGGATCGGATTTCTGGGGCGAGTCCAAAGTTCTCAGGGCGCAAGGGGTGCTTTCAGTTTCGGCGTTCAAGCGCCCCGAAGGAGAGCTTGAACCTGGTGTATCCGGGCTTTGATGTTTCGCTTTGGAGGCTCTTCTCCGGATAACAGGGCACCAGCGAAAACGGATGAACCCCTCTTGGCCGCTGAAGAGCTTCAAGCTTTCCTCCGGTCTGCGAATCCGAGCCCCGTTCAGGCTCTCTTAAGGCCGTGGTCGCCGTTCCGACAATCCTCCGGAAACCGCCGGCAATGTGATGAGGTGGGCCCGGCACCCTAGAATCCTAAGGACCCTAAGCTTGAACCCTAAATCCGCTTTGGTCTTCCTTTGGGTTGAGGCTTGTGACTGGGACAGCACGGCGAGGAAGAGAGCTAAACTTCCAGGAGCGGAGCAGACGCGAAAGATAAATGGCACGTTGAATCTGGGGGCCAATCCTCCCAATGCTGATGTTCGTAGGCACGCAGGAATCTGGTGTGCTTGTTTCGTGGAAGGGAATCCTGCGTTGAAGTTGTGGGGTTGTCTGTTTTGCCACGGCATTCATTTGCATTTGTGGAATGCTGCTCAAGCTGCGAGGGTGCTGCAGGCATGACGCTCCTAGTGGTGTTGGTAGCCTACTTGGAGTTGTGCTCTGCCGATGTCCGGCAGCAGTGGCCGCAGCCGCCCCTGAGACGAACTCGCCACCACTGCAATGCGTGTTTCCTTGACGAGAGCCCCCATGAGACTTGCGACTTTCGGCTGGAGAGGACATGCACAGAGAAGGCGGGCTGCCTTCGACCGGATGCTCGATGCCTTGAAGCGCCTCTTCACGGGTCTGCTGACTTTCGCATGAGGTGTTGCTGTCTCCCGGAGAACGGGGTCACCAGCACTAGCTTGTGCAGTGTGGTTAGTTTCTTCAACGTGCCATTCCGGTTTCAGCATTGCATCTTGAAGTGCTGCGACTACCACAACTGTGGGAACGGCTGTGCAGCAAAGGAGGAAGGGTGTGGCGAGGCCTTGCCTCCCTTTGAAGGTCCTTGCCGCATTGTGGCCAACGCCACGGCGGCACAGCAAACCGATGCAAACTGCTGCCTCTGGAGCAAGGGCGTCAGCTGCACCTCAAGCCAGCAGGAGCCATGCTGCCTGGAAGCAGCTGTGCATCCTGGGCAGGTCTGTCAGGCCACCCAAGCCGCCTGCATGACCAAGCCGACCATCAGCCCATTGCCTGCAAGCGATTCTGGGCTTTCGCCGGGAGCATGTGCGGTGGTTGTCGTGCTGTTTGGTCTTGTGTCAGGTGCTGTGGTGCTTTGGCTTTGTTCAAGGCGGCAGCCTGGCCATGCAGGCAGAGAGCGCCTCTTGCGTGAAGCAGGCCCGGCAGTCTCGCTAGTGGAAGTTCCAGCTGCATCGAAGCGATGTGTGGTCGTCATTTCTTGCAGTACTTTCACCGGTGGTAGTCCAAGCCTGGATGCCATCGATGGGGCTCATGAACAGGGATCGCGGGTGTGCAAGCTCTTCCAGGACGAACTTGGTTTTGATGTGGTGCAGCATGAGCGAGATGTGCCAACAACGGCCGCCTTCTGGCAGATAGTGGCGAGACTGTTGCGAGACTTGAGCGGAGAGCCACACGTGCTGCTGGTTCTGTACTTCATTACCCATGGAGTGGAAGTCAACTTCAACCTGCACATGGCAATGAGCTCTGCGGCACCCCTCGTGTTGCATGACGAGTGGTACCTCACCAAGGTTGACCTGCAGCATCGATTCCAGACAATTGACAACAGCTCCGAAGCACAACATCACCATAACTGCAAGCCACTGGCGTATATGAACCTTGTCATCTTTGCTGACACATGTCGCAGCCCGCCGCGGCAAGAAGCAAAGACTGGCAGTGGTGGGATGCCGCACTGGCCCAAGGCGTGCCGTCTCCAAAAGAGGGACAAGCCTGCACGCATCTGCTTCGTGCATGCGTGCGAGTATCACCGTCCTGCTTTGGGACACTTTACGGAGGTCTTCCTCAAACTGGCCAGGGCACCCCAAAGCCTGGACACTTTGATCGACTCTATGAGGGAAGAGCTCGAAAACTGCACCGGCGCAGGGCGGCAGCAGCGCGTTTGCTGCGACTCTGGCAGTTTGAACCTCAAAGACATCTACCTGCATCCTGCTTCTGGCTTGCCTTCAAGCTCCAGCACAATCCTGGGACCGACCTGCTCAGAGGAACCCTGCTCTGAAGTATCGGCATGCTCATAGCGACCGCACAAGTCGTGTCGCGCTGGCACTGCGGTGCCTTGTTGCTACTTGGACTCAAGATCTGGCGCAGCTCACGAAAGTCTCCCCCAGTCAGAGTCTTGCTCCTGACCTGTTCAGAGATCACAGGTTCTCGTCCCGGGGCGCTTTACACAGGCTCTAAGCGCTAATAAAGCCCTACAGGTCTGAACCGCAGCAGTCGCACTCCAAACCCGAGCTCTGACCTGGATCTGAAAAATCCTGACACTACGAGCTGTGTCTTTTTCAAGGCTCGGGGATCGGGTGTTTGACGTCCACTTCCACAGGCTCCGCA